CCCCAGAGAGGCGGCGGTTGCGACCTTATTAAGATATCCTGGTTGTGCCCCTTGTCACAAAATACCACGGAACGCTCTTTAACTTCACAGTTACCGTTCAGTTGACCCACTGATCAGAGTTTCAAAGGTGATATTTTACTTACTGCACACTGTGCAAAATTCATACTCACGGCACATGCTTATGGAAAAGCTGGGAAGGTTGTTCGGGAGAACAGCTTAAACTAATATTACAGCACAATGGCGAGATGAAGATACGAAATTCGGAGTCCAGTCTCATCAACATCACATCAATGCACCCTAAAACAGAGTACATCCAATCAAGTGGTTGAGCTACGACAATACTGTACCTGGCAAACCGCTCGAGAATACATTATTCACCGATAACGTTCAAACCCGCCACCTGACAGGAAGCAATTTTGCAGAAGATGATTCAGAGCCCAGCGGAACTTTTATTCCTAACTTTCACTTGCATTCAAAGAAATTCCAGGGCACTTTCCACTCACGAGCGATGTTAAGAAACACGTATGAAGATTCACCTGTTATCACCTGTTATAACCTGTTATCACCCGAGGTTATCGTGATGGGGCGGGGTATTGCTCTGATGAAACGCTAGCAAGCGTTAACCATACGCCATGTACAGTGTACTGAACACGATGTCGAGTGGCGTCTTGTCTGTTTTCTTTCCGACCCTTATGAGGTGTTTTGAGAGAATGGCGTCATGAACGCAGCAGTGGGACGTTAGACATAGACGCATGCAAGCTCTCAAATAATTAGCTCGAAGCACCAATAGCAAATGCTTTGCCTACATGTCGCAACGGCCGACTATGCGTGCCCTAAACGAGAGATGGCTGCTTCGGTTCCCGTGACGCTGGGTTCGAGTCCCGCAGCCCGCGCGGCGGTTCCACACTGCTACATGAACGGAGCCATGAATCATGAATATATGCTCACAGCACATATAAATATACACCGCTGTACTCAAAATTGAATACGAAACACGCCTGTTTAGTTTGTTTCCTGTCGCCACTAGACATGGTCTTGTACCCACGGGTGTTTTCTGCTAAGATCTGTCTTCATCAATTTGAAAACGCCAGGGGTTTGCATCGACCCGTGGCGCCGGCCTCATTAGCTCATGCGTTTGTATCATCCGCACCATGGCTGACAGCTATCACTGACTGCTTTTATTCGCACCGTAATAACTGACAGCCATCATCCGCACCATGATAACTGACAGCTATCATCCGCACCATGATAGCTGACAGGTCTGCCGTGATAATCGCATCGCTCGCTCAAGGTCACATCGGAAGTATTGCAGCACGTCAATGTAGAAAAGACCTGCCGAGTCCCACGCAATATCCGACGCACCGTTTTCTTGTCACCACTCCCTGATAACATTGCTAGTGAAACGTGCCTGTTTATCGCACAAAAGTCGAACCGTACATAATAAACATCACTTTGCAGCGTACTTAACATCAAACGACTTGCTGGCATACAAGCTCAAATGATAAAGATGAAAATGAGCCATCAGCTGTTATCCACCGAAAAAAGTGCAATCAAAAGGCAACAAAAACACCATAAATCCAGCGTACTGCCGGAACACCGTTTTCCACAACCTAGACGCCGCCAGCGAGTGGTTGCCACAGGGGTGTAGTTTCTTTTTCGGTCGTGGGCTTCAGCCCCCACCTCTCAACGCTGAGAGCAAGTGAGCCAAACTCGAGAAGAACCTAGTTTTGTGTATTTTAGAGGTAGGTGTAGTCAATGTTCTCGTTTAGCCCCCCCCCCCCCCCCCCTCCCCAATCATTTCGCGAAACACTAGCCCCGGTTCGCCACAACGGCAGCTCGGCTCCGTATAGTATTAGCCCTTGTGTCCGACGAGTGTTGGCTTGGGGATGTTGATCACCTGGCCGATGGACAAGGCCTGCTGCACGCCCACCTTTTGCTTCTCCAACGGACCGTTCACCTGCCGGTAATCGAGTACGTGTCACAACAAGCACAATATGTTCGCATTTATGTATGCGGTAATTTTTACGCAGTGATTTTTCATTGGGTGAGGTGGTGTGCTTGTGGCCTGAGTTCTTGTTGGTGATTGTGACGATCCTGTGTTAAGCGTACGCTCCCAAAAAGGAGCACTGCTTGCCCATGGACACAATCAAAGGAAGAACCACTATAGGCACACACCATCATGCAAGCGCATGGCCATGACGCCTAAATTATCATGACTGAATCAGAACTGTCAAACGTAAAGGGAAGCTCTTTAAAAATCAATGCACACCAAAAGCCTCAGCCTCAATAAATGAACCGACGTCGTGCTGATTGAACGCTGCTTATTACTTTCTGCGAGGTTTGAGGCAGCGGGGTTCGCCAACCACGGTGACGCCGAGGCACACACGAGGAGTCACGCCCTCCTCAGAAAGGTTCAGAGCTCCACTTCCCTGCACGCCGCCACCTGTGGCGCTACTCACCTGGAGGTCCGCCGCGAATGCCGTTCCACCGAGGAAGTTCAGTCCGCCCTGGTTGCCGGAGGACTCCAGAGTGACGACCGCGTTTGTGTTTCGCAGTTCACTGTCACCCTGGGGCTGTTGGCAAAACCATGACACGTGCAGACAAGGGTGAGCAGAACAGCGAGAGGCCATGTAGATGTAAACAAAACGACGGCACGTGCAGACGGTGCGTGCATGGCACGTATGCAGGCGGAAAAGCGGGCAAGGCGGTGGCGACCGAACAGCCTGTCGTTCAGGGCTGCTATCGGTATGAAATAAGTTTGGTAGCCGTCTGCCTTTCGGCTTTATTTTGTAGAATATAGGGCATGCAAAGTTGCCCATGCACTATAGTTTTGCTTAAAATGCGTGTTAAGAATCACTGGCTCGCCGGATGACCCCAAACGCGAAGGCTGACCATGCAACTTGATCTTCGTACCGTACGAAACGAAAAGATGTACAAGAATATGCAAGATAGAACCACATGGAGCTGTTTGAGACATTGCGAACTAAGTAACAAGACGAAAGCAGGAACCGCTTGACAAGAAGTTGAAACGAAATGCTTTTGCAAATGGCGGCTCAAGGTCTAAAGCCCAAGTCTGTCACGAGCCAGCATAGATTTGTTAGCGAGTTCGGGTGCCAAGGTAAAAGGTACTAATAATCACTTAACAATCTTACGTCATTCAGCAAACTTATTGAATAATCTTACCATAGGCGCACTGACGACCAGGCCAACGAGGCAGCAGAAGAAAGCCACCGTCACCTGCATGACTCTAAGTGTGTATGTGGGAGCTCCTAAATCTGCGGTCTGTGAAGGAACATGTCGAGTTCAGTAAGCTCAAGGTTAGTAACACCAACATCGATGAGCCAACAACCCAAATGGCCAAAGACATTGGCCCACTGTACATTGCAGTAGGTTCATGGATCCGAGTTTGACGAGAACAGCACATGTCTCGGTGTCCTCCATGTTATTCTGCACCATCGTGTTTTATCTTCTCGATCACACCTACGCATATTTTCTTGAGCTTAATTTGCTAAGTTCTCTGATACGTTTTGAATTATAACAATGGAAGCATCCCGGCTTTCGGACATCAGACTCATTCTTGCAAACACATGCAGCGCGTGTAACGCATGGAACGTAAGCATGAACATGAGTGCGCAAAGACAGCCAAAGAACGTGATACACAGTGTCCAATCCAGGATTCAGTTCGCTAAATACTTATCCCATTTCGCTTCTGTCGATAAAATCGTGATGGCTTGTGCGAGCTCTCGCTGGGGCTGATCTTGCAGTTTCTGGGATTTGGGGAGCAAGAGACCACAACATATGACGGGCTGATTGCCGCTAGTCCTGCGGATGCCGTTGTGGATCGTTTCCCCGCTGTTGCTGTACGGTCTCAATGTTCAGTGCTAACCAGCCGCTAGGGCCACTTTCCAAAGCGTCGATGCCTTCTACAAACCAAGTGTATAATGTTGTAATGTGCACGGTTCTCTCTCTCTCTCTCTCTCTCTCTCTCTCTCTCTCTCTCTCTCTCTCTCTCTCTCTCTCTCTCTCTCTCTCTCTCTCTCTCTCTCTCTCTCTCTCTCTCTCTCTCTCTCTCTCTCTCTCTCTCTCTCTCTCTCTCTCTCTCTCTCTCTCTCTCTCTCTCTCTCTCCCTCTCTCTCCCTCTCTCTCTCTGCCTCTCTCTCCCACTCTCTCTCTCTCCCTCTCTCTCTCCCTCTCTCTCTCTCTCTCCATCTCTCTCTCTCACTCATCACTCACTCACGCACTCACGCACTCTCACGCTCACTCAATTAATCACTCACTCATTCTCCCTCCCTCTCTCTCCTTTGGTCCCTCCCTCCCTTCCTTTCGCTCTCGGTACCCCTCCAACTCTCGGTTCAGATCGCTGCCGCCTGGGCGTAACTGCCCATTCGATCTCACCTGTACGCTGGCTCTACCGGCCCGACGCTCCGCACAGCTCTCAGGTTGCCACTGACTCGCTTGGCTGGTCACCCCCGCTCCTGTACCCAGCCTGGTCATAGACAGCCGGCTCGGGGTTTTCCAAGCCCTCACACGTCTTGTGGCGGGGTAAAACCGCCAGCGGACCACCTCCGAGAAGCAGAGAAGTGGTGCACGTTGACCCCACGCACGAGCGTGCAGAAAACCTGGAAATATGCTCGGTGTCCTCGGGAAAGGGGGCCTCGTTTGTGGCTCCAAGCTCTCTGTTCAAAACGGAGCCGGACGTAGTTAAAACCACCAGTAAGAGATGAAGGTTCTGACGCTCAAATCATGACCAGCTTAGCACAAGAGAACAGCTGCTGAATGTGCAATGAGTGTATGTAATGATTCCTTTATTTCACAGCTACCTCTGCACCTTGATTACTCGCTCACGCTTGCACCCGTTCAGGCTTGTGCTAAGCTCTTGTATACCAGGCGAGAAAGCAATATTTACTTGAGCAACATATCAAGTTTCAACGACCGTCGACTGGCGCGCGAGGCTCAGCATGTGGTACCAGTTTTGACTTAGCCGCAACACAAAAACCGGATCAGCGACCAGATTTATTCCTCCGTTAACGAGCAGACTTTTCGAAAGGCCAGGGTCTGGCAAACCCCAGCTTTGCAGGCTGTGCTCTTCGCACCGTGTCATCCCTGACCGCAGACCCACCGTCACCTTGGCCTGCATCAGCTTCTGACGTTGCCAGAAAGACGGCTTTGACTTTACGTAAGCCGCCGCGGTGAGCTGACAATTGTGACGCACATCGCCACCATGGCGACGGGCCACCGCTCATGGGTGCCAGGCATGAAGAACGTACCGCGCGAGATCACCAGAGGAAACGACATTCAAGCGGCAGTGCTTCACAAACTGTCACCCCTAGCTGCTGCGGAGGGCGGCCATGCCAAGGTGAACATATATTTGGAGACGCTGCGTCATACCAAGCAACACAAGCGCACAGTCGTGAACTGGAGTCGGAGTCAGAGCGGCAGTCCCTGGGCGGGGAGAGCGGCGGCCAGGGGCGAGCGCCTTCGTTTTAGCGCCAGACGCCGTTCCGGGGACCTCACACCTCCCTGATCACGCAGAATCGCACTCGTCACACCCGTCACACCCGCCGTCACACACGACTCGGTCATCCTCCCGCGGACTGTCCGATCTCTCTTGGCCGGGCCTCTCAAGGCAGCAGACGGGTGCTAGGCCACCCGACACCAGGACGGCGGCCGGTTCTGGCCCGGCGCCAGGCGACTGTCTGCCCCACACGGAGGGGGGGGGGGGGGGGTGCAACAATCCAGCCATCTCCCGCCAGCGCTCCCGGTCCGGTTTTGGGACGCGGTGGCGCCGATTTCGCCCTAGTGGAATCTGTTGTGGAAGTTTTGCCAGCTGGGGCGCGGAGGGCCACCGACGCCAGGTATGACAGCCGCATGGTTGAAAACTTGCGCGTGCTGCTGGTCGATGCTCAAGTCACCAACGCCCACCTGCAATCGGTGGTAGGTCAGTTCGAGTGAGTCACGTGTCATGACTCGGCATGATCGTGCTATGCTAGTTGTCTGCGCGGTTCTTAGGTATCGGACTATAAGGGCATGGCAAAAGAGGCTACCCCAGCGTGGACACAATGCAACGTGACCTCGCGACATTGCATGTCAGTTAGCGGGGTAGAACCGAGGCTACCCCATCAGCTCAATAGAGAATCTACTGCCATTGAAATGGTTCGCGAGTATTCCCTGCGTTGACATCTGACGACCACAACCGCTAATCACAATGGGGGTTGGGAGCAAAGATATTCATCATTGAGATCAGCGCTCGATCATGTTAAACTTGCGAATCGATCGTAAGGAAACTGAAAAATACGCACAGTCGTCTCAGGCTATAATATATATATATATATATATATATATATATATATATATATATATATATATATATATATAACTATGAAATAAAGTCCGAAAGACCGAAGTGAGTGACAACATTTTTACCGAGATCTCGTGAGCTCTTGGTATTGTTATGAGAGTGACCCCGCACCGCTTCTCCCACCTCATCCACCCCAAATCTCGCTCCAGTCACTCCACCCAGCCAGTAATCTGAGGAACTTTCCACTGACATGTAGGTTTGCTGCCAGGCCCGCTAGGAAATTCAATGACAGGCCACCATCCGGTCTTTGCACTACGCTGGTTCCTTGCGCGTTGGTGTTCGAGATGCTGCCACCAGGCTGCAACGACGGAACATATGACGTCACCATTGTCGCCATTGAACCACGGAACATATGACGTCACCATTGTCGCCATTGAACCGCGGAACATATGACGTCACCATTGTCGCGCTGATGGCCACGTTGATGACATCGACGAGGTAGAGGCCAGTGAGCTACATGCTGGACCTCAGGCGGGCACCGGCTCAAAGACAACGGCGTGGAAATTCAAACGGGTTGGTCGAGGCTAGCGATGAACGAAGCCTGGGAAGTTAGTATTGGATAAGGGGCGTTGGAGATTGGTGTGAAAACATGCCAAGGATGTGTCATGGCGTACATCATTGGAAGCATTCGCGACTTTTGGCCGCTAGTTGTGGTTCTACCCTTAATTCCGTGGGGCCAGTAAGCACCATGTGCATGAAACCAGGTACGTCATAGCAAATAGTGATTAAGCAACGAACACTGATTAAGCAACGAGTACTCACAGGTCGGTTTGGAGCTGCGAGACCGGTAGCAATAAGGGTAACAAAGAAAAACACTCTGTTCATTGTGGTTCTTCCCTGAAATTGACAAAGCACGGTCAGAAATGCATCACCTCCCAAGCATTGGACTAGTTCATTGAATTACACAAATCCCAAAGACCTGTTCAGAAGTGTGCGTTGATGCGCCTATCCCTTCGCATACTTCCGTTGAAACTGTACCGACAACGAAGTTCCCATCGATGGGACGTACTACCGTTTTGGATGAGAATCGAGGGCGTCCACCAGCCACTGCCACGTCAGTCGCTAAACCAGCAATATCCCGTGGCGTTGCATCAAGCGATAATTAGCGAAACCCCAACTCACATAGCTCTTTGTCACGTTCAGAAAAAACCGGGTGCGCCACAGCTGTCTCCCAGCCTTTCCTCTCAACCACGCACGCTGCAGCACAAACCATACCACCTAAGTGCCATGGTTCAGCGATCGCCCCGCATATGCTTGACCCCTTTACCCAAGTGCCGGAGCACGTGTCATGACAATTCTCATTCACTGACCGGCCCCGCCATCAGCGGTTTCTGGAGCGGGGGAGGGGGATGGAAGGTACGCTGATCTGCACCCTTCGCGGAACCCTACTCACGTAAAGCGGCGGGGATGCGCTGGTGCGGTCTGCCAGGCACTGTGCCGCCGGCGGGCCTGCGCGGCGCTTTATAGGAACCCGCCACTCAAGCACGCGAGCGGGGAAAACCGGCCGAACGGGTGAGGCTGCGACCGCGCCCGCGGCGGTCAGACTGTTGAAGACTCCGGCGGCTGCACGTCACACATCACCGGGGCTGCGGCGGCTGCACGTCACAAATCACCGGGGACTGCGGCGGCCGCACGGCACACATCACCGGGGAAGGTGGCGATCACACAGCACACATCACCGGGGAAGGTGGCGGCCGCACAGCACACACTACTGGGGACTGTGGTGGCCCCACAGCACACATTACCGAGGACTTAAGTGGCCGCACACAAATTAAATGATTACTTTACGGCGGTGCTGAAAATCCTGTTGTACTTTGGGTGCGTGCCAAATTGGCTTATTTTCATTGTGTGCCGCATGCAGGTAGCGAACCATGCCGACTTGGTGGATGAGGTAGGAGGCAAAAACGTACATTTGCATGCAAAGCTTGGTGCCAAAATATTTTTGATAGAAATATTTGGTAACGGCCACGACAAATTAATATAACACACACTGCGCAACGTAGCATGATGCTTGCATACATATATATTTTGCCTGCATGGTGTGCATTTCGACACACGGACAAGGAAAGCGCTTCGTCAAGACCCTTTATAGTACCCTACGGAACAATAATACCCTCTTATGTTTCATCCCAACCTGGTGAAAAACGCATCCTAGGATTTTTAGTTGGCCGCTCAACTTGGTGACAGGTCGCTGATAAATCAGTGTACTGATCATGGCCGGACCGGTCGGTCGATTCGCTGTTTCTACCAGCCGGCTCTCAGTGTCCCAAACTAGTTAGTATAAAATGCTGAAACAGATCCAGATACGGAGATTTCTCTCAACGCAAGAACATGCTTCAATCGCTACGGAGCGGCTGCTCAGAGGTGGGCGGTGACTTTCAATGCTGTTTCGATGCACCGCGATTTTGCGAGCGAGATTCGCATCGGAGTGTCATGCACACCTTCCTGGTGTTTAATGTTTAGGCGGTGTTTTAATGTTTACTTTGATGATGGTGCCGCGACTGAGCATCCTGGCCTCAGCGACGAGAGGCACTGGAAGCTCAGGATTGTTGTTTATTGATGGTAAGTCGGCGAGGTGATCCGACTGAGGTAGAAATCGACTTTTGATTATCCAGACCGCCTTTTCCAGACACAGAAAAGGTTGTGGACTCACTACAGCAATCACAAACGACCAGCCTTCCTCATTTGGAAAAGAACCGTGGGTTCGATGTTGAAGGCTAAATAATTTTATTGGTGTTTTGTTAGGATTTTAACAAAGATTACTCATAGTTAAACCTTTTACTAGAAATGATCTTGGTTGCGGTAAATTTATATGATAGTCAATTTTATAGGCCATGGGAAGACATTGAGAAGTGAGGAGTCAAGCGGTGTAGCAAATATAGGAAATGATGAGGGAGGGGCTGGGGCTGGGGGTGGGGGTGTTTTTCATATCCCTCTTTACTAAGAAGATTACTTCAAAAAGTGGGAAATTTATGGGATTGTGGCCCGATTGTAATAGCAGTTGAGTGAAAGGTTGGTAGTTGGTTCTCTCTGAAAACAATGTTAACTATTTGCTGATGATAGGAGTCCTTGCGTAACAGGAAAACTCTGAAAGCGAACCATTCTGCAGCACTCCTTTATTTGTATATTTTCTTTACAGTTGTGAGCATGACATTTGCATGGATGTAAATGTGACGTATTTCACTATTGTTTTTGCTAACACTAAAATCAAAACTGTTCTGATGGAACCCTAAACATAATCATTGTATGTATTGAGTAAAGGTTGTGAAAGCAGACACCCTTCTTTGAATCCAGCCTTTGTTGATAGTAGGAATCCATGTGGTTTGTCTGTTGATTGCATAATGACAGGGCTGGTGATTGTTATGCATGATTAGGGGAAAGTAGCAACCCACTCACCTGACGCCACCCCCCTAAATATGGTTGATTTGATGATACTGATTGATGATTGATGATTTGATGATTTGTTGATACTCCTGTATTACGCATGGCAAATATCACAGGTAAGCTTAGATTTGCTTGCTGCTTAGCGTACAAAGGGCAGTTCTCGCTGGCTGGTTGAATTTCTATTAAGGTATGAATATTAGTACCAAAATGTGTCATTCTACTGTACTAGCTGTTTTTTCATGGTCTGAAATGCAGATGCTTACACCAGCATATGTAAAATAAATAAAAAAGGATGGTCCTCCGCCTGCCGCTCGTCACCCCCGCTGGCCGTCAATCAGCCTGCAGTGCTCGTAAAAACCGTCGCTGCTCCGAAACCAGAAACGCTATTGACACATTTTTTGTGTCAACACACGCACGATGGATGCCCGAGAGACTGTCCAAGTTTGAACGCGACTGCGCGATATGCCGGTCTGGTATATTCATGAAACCTTAAGGGGAACGGGCGTTGCATCATCTCCTCCCCTTCGGACAGAGCGTTTTGTTCAGTAAGAACTAGCGGCATGATGTGAGGCTATTAACACATTGCAGAGGAATTTACTTGTGGAGCGGTGCAAAAGACGCCCAGCAGACAACACATGTCGCGCCAGGCTTGGACCATACCTAAAGTATAGTTGAGAATTTGGTGACGGTTGAGGTGGGGCTCAAAGTGAACATGTGATTTTCATAAGCGGGAGTACCATTTGACTCCCTCTTCAACATTGTGAAATCAATAAGTTCCATTTACTGACTTTTCCAGCGCGTTTACTATGTGATATCCTCAGCACGCCAATTCGCCAAAATCCTTTTGCGATAATTGGTATGAGAGCATGAAGCCCTCCAGTTACGGAAAAATATCTACAAATATAACGCAATTCTCACACAGATATAATTAAAAGTTGCACTAAGGCTTTGATTTCTCCCCTATAAGCATCTCCTCTAGATTTCTCCCCTACAAGCATCTCCTCTAGATTTCTCCCCTCGACGTTTAGCAGTGATTCTGTTCGAAGGACACTTTGGAATTGGCAAGCATTGTCTTCTTGCATGCTTGTTTATTCCAGAGCTGTGCTTACAAGGAAGGTGTACGTCAGCGACATATCAGCTGGTTTAGTGACGCAGACCGTTCACCAGTGCACCACTAACTAAATGGTTACGCCACGCACTGTGATAATCACAAACATTCATTTTTAATGACAACATTCATACCTAAACAACAGGGTCTTGTAAGCAGCAAGCAAATGTAGCATATGCCCACCTTCGCAGCCATGATGGTTGAAAGTTACGTGCAATTTCATTGAGCATGTTTGGTTCCACTTTGCCGTAAAATATTCCCATCCCAAGCATACTTGCTTTACCATACATTCAGTAACTTACTCCTCACTTACCATCATAATCACCACATGATTAAGTGCCTCTTGCCAACATGCTCAAGTTCAAAATGGTTTGCTGACTAAAATAAATATGCTTAGTTCACTTAACTATCCAATTTTATGTCCCAGTACGCAACGTCGGCATGACCCGTTGCAACAATGATTGGCTGGACGATTATCTACAATTCAGCCACGTGCGTTGATACCGGAAAGTGCAAACATATAAGCCAAGATGAATACAGTCTTCCACTCGACACGCCTCCGCTGTTTTTCCGAAAATATGGCATGATAGCTTTAGAAGAACATATGCGCTTCACGTGGAAATGGCTTGTCGGAGACCACAGGCAGAGGTTGCCATTCAACATCCATATCAATCATTGATGACCCCAACAGTAAACTAGCGCAATGTTTTGTTTTATATGTCTTGTATCTCACTGGTGCCAATAACATGATGTTAGAAATTCTATTACCGTGTTGTTGCACTCCAGATGTTAAAGACTGGAAAAATTCGGCTACAATCACATAAATAGGTGAACATTCTGCAGAATGAGCATGTAACTTTAAAACATCATGCGATTACCATCATCACACTCCTAAAAATGGGCCCGTTTAGCGGGCCCATCGCGCCCGCCGGTGGAAGAGGGGGGGGGGAGGGGGTGTGGTCGCCGGAGGTGGAGTCGCTGGGAGTTGAGGCGTACATGGTAGCGGGCGCGGTGTCCGAGCTAAGTGTCCTTATGCCCCCGAGTCAAGGGTGTCAGGCCGACCTACTACCTCGCCAGCAAAGGGCGCTAAACGGGATGGGAAACGTGCATAACGGGCATATAATGATTATTTCAAAGCAGTTTATCAACGCCAATGAATCTCTAGCGCCCAAACACGTCTTGTGGTTGCGGGTGTCTGGTCATAACGCCATGGGCTAAAACACTGCCATGAGCAAAGTACACCTGCCGCGAGCTCACTTGATGACGGACAAGCTGATGGCACCCGTGCCAAGCTCAAAACCTGATGAAAGTGTTACATTTGAGAAAAAATATGGAACGCAGAGAAGGATAACTAACGAATCAGGTCAGCTTCTATGCAGGAATTCTCCGCGCATTTACAACCAAGCCCCGATGATAGCTGTAAAGAGAATTACTCGTAAGCGAAAACGTCAGTAGCGTTTTGGTAGTCCTACTCTCCTAGCGAATGTCATGTACCTAACGGAGCAAAGGCTCCGCAGATTTATGATGAGGAATGCCATGGGTAGCCGTCGAGGATGGGAAATCCTGGGGATGGACTGATGGCGTCCGCTCCAGAAAACGAATAATTCCCAAATCCGCTAAATTTGACATGGGCCTGGGATGTATGCTATGTGTGGATGGTATGTATAAGTGTACAAAGTACGCATGGATGTATATGTGAATGCTGGATACCAAAGAAGCTGAGAGAGTTACTCTGGGCCCCAAACAAGCTCCGGACCTCCGGATCTGAGGCAAATCTTCAGCCTTGCCTTCTGTTCTGATGTTGAGTTGTCCGTTCACACGCTTAATGGACGGAGCTAAAGGGTTGTGTAACGGATTGGAAGAGCTAATCATGTTAATACCCACGTATGCTATAACTGGACGTGCTACAAGCTCTTCGGACCGCTCGCCCCACGCATGCCGTTCAGTGGTGACGT